TTAATACGTAAGGTAGAGAGGTTTTTGCTGAAATAGCAGGATTCGTAGGTTGGTTGGGTCATTAATGGGAAAGATTGGGTCCGCCAGGGGCCTTTCTTTATCTAGCAGGGGGAAGGGAGCGGGTCTATCTATAATGATTGTAACGTTACAAATAGTAACGCTACATGATTTATGTATTAAAAATAAGTTAAGCACTGTATAAGTATAATTTAGTTTATTGAGTACACATCTGTTCACACTGTATATCGCATATCGGCTTAAGAGTATTGTATTTTTATGTTTTGGTTATTATTTTGGGGTCTTTAGGTCGCTGGCTTCATGGTGTTGATTTGCCATGCCTAAAAGAGTACGTTTATTTTAGTTTCATTTATAACCAGGAAGATCTTGGTACATATTTTAGGTTACGACAGAATTTACCTTTTAGTTATTGTTTCGATATGTATGAAGTGTGATAAGTATGAATGGTTGAGTGAATGAGTGTAGGTGAATGATGTGGGTGCTCCTGGGTCTCCTTTATAGTATATATGCGTTTTAAGTTTATCTGGGGCCCTGGTGATCCTACAACATTTGTGTACTTTAGAATAGGTTAAAAGGGGGTTAGGATAAGTTAGTTATAATTATTATTTTTATAAAAAAACGTTACTTACTTTTATTTTTATGTAGGGTTTCATATAAGGTTTGTTTGTCAATTTTGGTAGTTGAATTATTTCATATTGTTTTGACGTTTTATCCGGTTTAGGGACTTTTGGTATTTGGCAACTGTTTCTTGGGAATGCATTCACGAAGGGCCATGGCTCTAAGGTTGGTTTAAGTTTGTTTGTATTCACTGCGTTGCTCATTAATTCTTTAATTTTTTGTATATTGCTGAAGTGCGCTTTGCATTAAGAATATTACAATAATTAAATCGTACGTTGGTAGCATTGTTATCAATTGCGCATGAGGGTTTGTTCGAGAGAGGGGAGAATCAACAGGTAGACGAGGAGGTTCTGCAGGTAGACAGGTGCGAATGGCCGGTTCAGAAGTTAGATAATTTGTTAAATCTAACTAAACTGTAATTACGATTCGTTTAGTAATTAACTAGTTGTTTGCCTAACATACCAAGTTAGCGCAAATAGATAGAACAGTGGTTGCCGTGGTCTCCTGAACAATTGAGTTTTTCGTAATAGAGCAGCGTGTTTGCTAAATAGCCATCTAAAGTACCTGGGAATTATTCCATCGACCTGGGAAGGTCCTATTTTTAGAAATTCATCGAAAAAACCGGAGAAACTCCGGTTTTTTCTTGGGGGCACATTTTCTGGAGAGGTTATCCTGGTCTTCGCTTATAACTGTAGCGAAATAATTACTCTGAGAGATTTTCCTATGGAGGAGTTCCTGATGGAACGGTCTCAAAGATCGCTTTTATGACAGTACCCATGGAGCACGAATAGCCCCATGCATCCAGGAGCCTGATCCAGCCCTCAGAATGAGTATACCAGACGTCCAGAAACCCTAATCGGGATACAGGTTTTTTTATCATCATTATTAATTTTTTTATTGCGCAAAACTGCCTTGCAGTAAATTATGAAACATTATTTTATATTTTAACCATTTTTAACCTAGTGTAAACCAATAGCTATTCGGTACTGATTTTAAAATCCTAAATATTGAATTTAATATAATTTTCATTTAAAATATAAAGTAAGTTACCAAACTTTGAGTTTAACTTAATGACCACAACCTTAGGTTATTGTACTCTTTAAAGTTGTGGTGGCGCCCAAGCAAAGTGTAAGTATGAAGAATAAAAACCCACAGACCTATGCTCCCAGACACGAGAGCTGCCGGAGCATATAACCCCAAGTTGGTTATATGATAGACGTAGATAGTCGCTCTCAACATCTGCATTAGAGAATGCCCGGGATTGATAATAACGACTGCGCGTTAATATCGAACTTGCTGGAATAGATATATGGTATTAGTGAGATTTTTTGAGAGTTTGTTGGTCTGATTTTAGAAAACACAATGGATATTGCTTGAAACATCGAGAAGTTTTTAAATAAATTTAAGAGTGCAGTTAGTATTTTAATAATAATAATAATAATAATAATAAATTTATTGTACCAAAAATTTACAGATAATTTTGTTTCATACATGTTTTTCAATAAGGTATTTAATTGCACCTAATTTCCAAAGGAAATTGTACTGTGCCTTAATTTTGAAAATGTAATGATATAATTGTACACATAAATAAAAATAAAATAAAAATATTCTAAGAACTAACTAAACTAACACTAAGAACAAAAGTAAGAGTTTTCTCTTTTCTTTCCCTGTTAACTATCAAATACATTTCGATTGTGTTTTCAGGAGGATTACTTAAAAAATAATTTTAAATTTTGTTGCGTTTTGAACTATGTATAAAAAAAGTCTTTTTGAAAATAGAGAGTAGTTGTTTATGTTTCTTATATCCTGAGGAATAGAGTTAAAAGTTTTTGGACCAGTTACATTAAGGGACTTCATGTATAGTGTGGTAGTAGCAAAGGGGACAGTTAATTGTTGTTGGATTTTTTGTCGTGTCACCCTATCATGTGATAAAACATGTCTCAATTTTCTATTTTTGTAAAAAAATTTTGCAGCGTTAAAAATATAAAGGTTAAATAAATTTAGGATATTACTTTCTTGATAAAGATGTTCAGTGGAAAATCGCTTATTTTTAGATAATATAACTTTTAGAATCCAGTTTTGAGTAGTTTTAAGTAGTTTTAAATGGGATTCATAAGTTGATCCCCATAAGATAATGCCATACGATAGAACAGACTCAACCAACGCTTTGTATAAAACCTTTAACAGTCCACAGACATGAATTCTCGTAGTTTGTAAAATGTAAAAACGAGTTTTCTTATTTTTTTTGTTAGATAGTCTGCATGAACTTCCCACCTTAAGGTATCACTTATCATTAGGCCCAAATATTGTATGTTTGAAACCCTTTCAATGTATCCTAAGCATGTACAATTATTAATATCGCATTTTGAGTGTAATTTAATTTTATGTATGTCTGGTTGATTAGTAGAAACATTAGTAAATGTTAAAAATTTGGTTTTTTCATAATTTAGGTTTAGAAAGTTACTATCCAACCAACATTTAATCTTATACAATCCTCTTTCAGCCGACTCGACTACTTCTTTCCAGTTATCTGAGTAAAATACAAGTGCTGTATCATCGGCGTATGAAAATATATCTCCCTGATTTCCTATATTGAGCATCTCATTAATATATATCAAAAACAACTGCGGTCCAAGGACCGTTCCCTGAGGAACCCCGAACAATATATTTTATGGATGACTTAATGTGCCATCAATTTTAACAATTTTCTGTCTAAAAGATAGTTTTTAAATAAATTTAATACAGTTCCTCTAATTCCGTAGTCAGATAGTCGCCCCAGTAGAACATTATGTGACAAACTATCAAAAGCTTTAGCCAAATCTAAGAAAATTGCGAGTACTTTTTTCTTTTCATGAAGTTTTTCGTTAATTTTATTTGTAAACTGGTATAGGGCGTCCTCAGTGGAACAGCTTTTCCTAAAACCGAATTGCTTATTCGATAGTATATTATAGTAATACAAATGCTCATTTAAACGATTAACTAGACACTTTTCCAGGATCTTAGCAAAGTTATTAATGACCGAAATGGGTCTGTAATTGCCTGGTGCTAATTTGCATCCCTTCTTGAAAATTGGTGTTATAATACCTACTTTTAATTGTTGTGGAAATTATCCATTTTTAAAACAAAAATTTATAATATATACCAGTACATTTAATATACCATTTTTTGTAGCCTTAATGAGTTTTGTTGTTATTTTATCAATTCCGGGCGATGTATTCGTTTTTAGGTTATCTATTTCTTTATTTATTTTATTTCGAGTAACTGGTCTTAAAAACATTGAGTTTTTAATTTTTTATTTTTAGTCGGAGACTCAAGTATATCGGACAGTGGATCGTTTTTTATATTAGTTGCCATTTTTTCTCCATTTTTCTAGTGGAAAAATGTTCAACAAATATGTTAGCGATTTGTTTTTTATTAGTTACGATGGTTTTGTTGTCGTTGTGAATTTGAATAATAGTTTTATTTTGGTCATTATTGGATTGTTTAATTATTCGCCACATGTTTTTAGTGTTATGTTTTAATTTCGACATTTCCTTTTGTAAATATTTTTGTTTTGTTACTTTTATTAATTTATTAAGATAATTTCTATAATTTTTATATTCAGCCCACAGTAATTCATTGTTTTTTTCCATGTTACATTTCTTTTTTAGGTTGTCTCGTTTTTTTATTGAAGCTATAAGTCCCTGTGTTATCCAAGGTTTAATTTGTTTACGATTTTTTTTATTTGTCACGCATGTACACTGCTCAACATAATTATTAAATTTTTCAAAGAAATTATTATATGCCCTATCTACATTTTGAGTGTTCATAACAGTATCCCAGGATTCGAATTCTAGTAAAGTGTTTAGTTTTTCATAATCTATTTTAGTGATTTGTTTATTAATATATTTTTCATTAGGTTTATTACAATTTACATTTAAATTTATATTTAGTATGATTGAATAGTGGTCAGTAATGGCAGTTTGATAAAGAATTGAATTGAGATTTTTTGTTAATATATTTTCGTTTTTTTTAATATATATAATATATATATATATTATATATGTTCTATACAACTGGGTTTTACGTCCTTTTGTACTCGAGTAAATCCATTTATATATGATATGAAATGAATTGAAAGTAAAATTTTTAAGCTTGTTAGTTGTTGTAAGAATTTTTTGGGAGATTGAGTATAGGGTGGAGTAGTAGTATGGACTTTTGTTTTATTTTGATTTATTTTTGATAACTTTGTAGTTTCAATTTTGGTGTGACTGCTTTGTGATTGTGTTTTTATTTTTATTTTTGTCATCTTTTTGTTGGTAGTAAATACATATTTACATTAGTTATAGGCAAACATAAATTTATTTACGGTGGAATGAACGGGTCATTCTGTTCCCTGTGAGCTCTGGTTGCCTTCTCGATGTAATCCATCATTGAGAGAATACCCAGTTCCTCTCTCAGCTGTATGTTTCTCACATACCATGGCGCTTTCGTGATAATTTTTAGGAATCTATTTTGCTGGATCTCCAGCTTGTTCTTGTGACATCGGGCGGCCGTTGACCATGCTGCGCATGCATAGGTGGCTATGGGTCTTAATATTGCGGTCCAGATTAGTCTCTTGTTCTTTGTGTGTGATTGTAACTTTATTCAGGAGCAATTGGTAAAATTGGATACCTGGTGTCAGCAGAATTTTTTGTATTTAAATGTTGACAAATGCCAGATTATAAGTTTTAGCCGGAAAAAGGAGATAATAGAGTTTGACTATACCCTTCGAAATTTAAACATTAAAAGGAAAATAGAGGTTAAGGACTTGGGTATCCATTTTGATCAAAAGTTCTTGTTTGATATTTATATTAACAATATTTGTAACCACCAAGATGACCGGGCCAAGCTCACCCGGTGGTCACTGCTGCTCCAAGAGTATTCATACACCATCGAGCACGTCGCAGGCAAGCTAAACGAGTTACCGGATTATTTGTCTCGACACTCAACAGACCGGACAAACAGCCAACCTGTAATAAACAGCGAGATGATTCCCACTCCGATGGTGTGTGCCATCCAAAGCGAGCCGTTGGTCCAAGCCATACTCCAGGGACAACTCGTCGACGACGTGACCCGTGAGCACACCCCGGACAAAAACAAACACTTCAAGCCATTGACCAGAGATTCCACTGGCCCAAACTCCGTTCAACAGTTCAGAAATACGTTCAGGAGTGTCTGGTGTGCCGACAAATTAAGGGACGCAACCTACAACCAGCTGCCCCAATGGCCACGCATACTCCAACAAAAGCGTGGCAAATCTTGTCCATCGACACGCTGGGACGTTATCGAGGAGAAAACACCGAACCAGAATATGCCATAATCGTGGAGGACATCTTAACGAAATGGACCGAAGCAGAGGCGGTTCGGGATGTTCGACACAAAACGATCACAAACTATTTGGACGAATTATTTGGAAAATATGGAATACCCGAGAAGATCATTGCCGATTGCGCCTCGCAATTCACCTACCAGAAATGGCAAAGGTACTGCCGGAAGAGGGGCATTCAGATCATCAACTCAGCCATATATCACCAGAGAGCCAACCCCGTGGAACGACAAGTGCAGGAGGTCAAGAAGATTATCCGGGCCTTGGTAAAACATCACCAAGGCCGTGAAAAATGGTTTAATCTCTTGGGAAAAGCAACAGCCATCCTCCGGTCCAGAGTAAACCGCTCCACTGGCGAAACCCCTGCGAAGGCGTTACTGGGTTATGAACCTAAACTACCAGGGGATTGGTCCATTCCATTGACTCAGGAGATACGCCAGGGAAGAGAAGCACACAACCAACAGTTGCAACAACGTCGCCGGATATTTGTACGAGAATACGTCGGAAATCCAGACGACGTATCAACAACCTTCCAGAAAAACGATCTGGGGCTTGTGCGAAACTTGGTTAGGACCGTTTAAGATTCTCCTAAGAAGATCCCCGGTGACATACGAAGTGGAGACCAACTTATTGTAAGTTGTTTTGGAAAAAAATAAAGACATGCGGCTTGGCTAAAATTGAGGGGGGCATGTCGAAGAGCGAGCGAGTGACGTGATTGGTCAACGACGCGCACCAATCAGTATTAACGTCTCGAGAGGTACGTTTCGCTCTTGTATAAAGATTAGCGTGACCGTTAATCAGCACTCAGTCTCTTGTCGACCAGCCTAGAGACTACAGCTCCCCAATTAAGCAGCAGTATTATTTTCTGACCGAAAAGAACCAAGCCTATCTAAGCCGATACCACCGAGTTGAGGGATGCCCAGGGCAGCCCTCATCTTCGGACCGTATGCCGATTCGGCATCAAGCACATCATGTTGGACCCAACCACGGGTCAGTCAATTATACCACCGGGCCCTTCAGAGGAAATCGTGGACACAAATCCCAACCAAGGCATCGCACCGGGATCGCTAACTGAAAGCGATACCACAGAACACTTGGACTTGACACAAGGAGATGGTGAAGACAACTCCAGGAAGCCGCCATCAACTGCCGAGCAACTTGGAGCAAGTCAAACATAACAACTGTCAGCAAGGATGCATAAAACATTTTATTTACCACCATGCAAAACAAACATTATGCAAAGATCCCCACTATATATTATTTGTGGTAATTTTAATAAAGTGTCTGAAAAATGTAATATTAATTTTGACAGTATTAATTTTATTATTAACTGCGTCAAAGAACATTTAATTTAATAATTTAGTGAATAATTGTTGTTTTTTTTGTTGCTATTGGAATTTATATTTTGTTAACCTTTAGTAATTAAGTTTGGATTCCTAAATTTGCATTAGAATATTTATATTACTGCGTGCTCTTGACGCTTGAAGTGTAAGCATATGCTCATCGAGATCTCTCTTAAGCAGCGTATACGATACAAACGTAGTAACGTGATAACTGGTTAACGCCGTAAAATAATAAAAAATCAATCGATTCTAAACGTGATAACTGTCCCAAGTGCAAAAGAGTGCAAATTGTGTGTGGTACCTCCCCCTGGATTAAATCCTCAAGTGTTGGACCTGGTTAAAAGGTGTGAGAGAGACGATCAGTTCCATGAAATTTACTGGGCTACCACACGTGCGAGCGGCATGCGAAATGGATCAATTCCAGCACCAAATAATCAAGCTTAGTTATTTTTTCCAATTGCATGTCTTACCGTATATTCGCTAAATGTTTATAAAAGCATTTCACAATGTTTATATAAGCATTTCACAATGTTGCAAAAAGAAAATACTAAGAATTCTTTTATTGTCTCAAAAACTCAATTAAAAAAGAATAAGAACATTTCCGTAAGTTTAAACAAACAACCTCATTTTCTCATAGCAGACAAATCATAAACAACCATCGAAAAAGGCGTAAGATAAATAAATAAACCAAACATGCAAGAAGACAAAAATAACATAAACAAGTTGTGTGTGAATAGCAGTGTTGCCAGATGTAAAAGTTGAAATTATCGAATTGGGTAAATAAAATTATCGAATTTTCGGAAAATTAAGTTACAATAATTGTAATAATTATGTTACAATAATTATTATAATTTAACCATAAAAAAGTGAAAGAAGCAGGGTTGAAAATATTATCGAATTTTTAGAAAATATAAAATTTGTTAAAAATAGTATAAAGCTGGATTTATAGTTCAGAAAGTAACGGTAGCGGTAATGGCGGCCCCTCCCATAAACACTAAACTTACAAGGCGAGGCTGTCAACTAAAAACTGCCGTGTGATTGGCTGGAGTCGCGGTTGAGGTAAGAAAAAATGAAAATGGTCATCTCTTGCCGCTATAACGTATACGTTCTTGCCCCTACTTCCCTTACCGTTTCCTCTGACAACTATAAATTGTTTCATATAATATTCAATGCCCAACTTGGCTACCGTTATCGCTGCCTCTACCGTTACCTTTAGAACTATAAATACCGTACGGGAATCTATAAACAGCACTACGGTATTGCTGATATTTTACGGGAGGAAGGTAGAAAATCTATAAATCAGGCTTTATGCTTAATTAAATTTATTAATCTGGATAGAATTAAGTTAATTTTGTCCAGATACTTGGATTAAAAATTATGTTACAATTATCGTTATGCTACATATAATTTTCAAGCTTTGTTTTTAGAAAAATTTATGTTATAATTCGATAATTATGTTACAAATGGCAACACTGGTGAATAGGTAATTGTATATGCATTTAGGATAGATAAGAAGGAAGACCCACTCAACCTATGCCATATTGCCGCATTCCATTACATACACTACAGGGCCGGATCTATCCATTTTGTATATTGGTATTTACATTAGAGAGACTGGTTAATTAATTAATAAATTAATAGACCGACTGATTGGTATGGATATTATGGGTGTTGGTATTGGTACTGATGTTAATATTATTGGTATTAATGTTAATATTGATGTTGGAATTATGGATATTGATATTGATATTAATATTGATTGATTAATTGATATTTATATAAGATCTATATAGATACTGGTTGACAATTAATAATTTTAAAATAAATAAGGAATATACAAGGTGGGTAGCCGATACCTGGCAGGAGGAATACCCATCAAGGGAGAGGGCACCCACGGGTATCAGGGCCGTCAACTCTTCGATACGGAAGACAAGACTGAGTATCACACAGGGGGGCAAACAATTCTAAAGAGGTTACCAGGAACCTGATACTGACTCGGACAGTGACGTACAGAAATACACCAAAAGGACAGGTTTTAGCAGCGTACTAACACTTCTACCCCCATTCAAGAATACCAAATGAATGGGGTTATTACTAAAGCCCTGGTTGAGGGGGATTCCGGATTGTACTTAGTTTTGGGTCAGTTCAATGTCCCCCAAAAACCCTTCCTAAACTGGACGTATGGCCCGACCCGGCTGACAAAAATTCCGGGAGCGGCCTTAACCTTTGACACTGTCTTCCACGACCTCCTAGGGTGGATCTACCAGCCGGCGTAAAAACTTCGGATCCAACAAACACAGGTAATGCTGTGATTTGGCGGGATACGCAGGAGAACGAAAAGGGGGTATAATATCCCCGGGAGATCGTGGAGGATAATATAACTGGGGCCTGCCATACGTTCCCATACTCATACTCATATTTATATTACTATTATATTAATTTTTATTTGTAAATTTTCCTGTAATTGGATTGTTAATCTGTTGGGAAATAAAGATTATTATTGTTATTATTGTTATTATTATTGTTTAATGACAGGCCGGGGCTGTTGTGTAAAGGCCTTAAAGAGTGGCTGACACCTTTGGTTTAGTGATGATCTTCTCAATGTCTTTTCCCCACGTTAGTTTATCATCCAAGTGTACACCCAGATATTTTGCGGTTTTAGTCCATGGTATGGCCTGGTTTTCGTACATAAGTTCCCCCGGCAAGGTTCCTCCCTTCTTAAATAGTATAGCCTGGGTTTTATTTGGGTTTATTCGGATTCGGTATCTGTCCGCCCAGGCCTTCATTTTGTTCAGCGCTTTCTGGAGTTTATTTTGGATCATCTGCATGTTGGAACTTTTATATATAAGTGCGGTATCGTCCGCATACAGCGCCATCTGGACTACCGGGGTGCGAGGCAAGTCAGTCATGAAGAGGTTAAATAACGTTGGGCCTAGCACTGATCCTTGCGGCACCCCTGCTCTTATAGGGTGGACCTGAGAGGCCGCACCGTTGAACTTGGTGGAAAACGAGCGATTTTTCAGGTAGGAGGCAATGATCTTTACCATAGGAGGTGAAATTTCCATGTTTATCATTTTAACCAGAAGACCTACATGCCAGACCTTATCAAAGGCTTTGCTAAGGTCCAGCAGCACCAAACCCGTCCTCTGCCTAAAATCAAAACCATGGGTGATAATTTCTGCAATTCTCACCACCTGGAGCTCTGTAGAGAGTTGGGCTCTGAATCCGAATTGTTCGTCGGGAAGCAGGTTTTTATCTAAGGATTCTTCTTCGAGTCTTATCTTGATTACCTTCTCTATTAGCTTTGCAAGTGTGGAGAGCAGAGATATTGGTCGATAATTTTCTGAGAGCTGCATACCCTTAGCAGATTTAGGTATCATGATCACCTGGGCTTTTTTCCAGACATCTGGAAAGTGACATTTACTAAGGGCGCCATTTATTAAGGCAGTTAGATTGTGTATCATCACTGGTGGGAGGTGTTTCAGGGCCAGGTTGGAGGTGTTGTCTTCGCCCGGAGATACTTTGTTCCTAAGGCCAGTGATGATGCCTTTTATTAGTTCTGGGGTGGCTGGCGTGATGGTTTCCTCATCAGCCTCTTCTAGGAATTCATCTACGAATTCCTTCATGAGTTGGTCTTCTTGTTCTTGTTTTGGCAGTGGGGGATGGTCTGTGAATTGGGCTTCCTCGTTTGAGTATAATAACCCTTCTGGGCCTTGAAGAGGGGTGTTATTTGTCGCTTTAGAGTTTTTTAGAGCAGCTACTATTCTCCATACGTCATTGTTTTTATTTGGGTCCAGATTTGTTTTTCCTCCCATTTTTGGTTTCTGAAGCTCTCTAGAGACCTCTTCACTCTTCCTGAGAGCTCATTGTATGCTCGTCTATCTGCTGGGTTCAGAGAGCGTTCAGCTTGCTTTTTGGCGTTTATTTTTTGAGTGATCAGAGTTTTGATGTCTGGGGGGATGACGTAGGGGCACAGGACTGGGACTATTCTTTTATGGGTAGCAGTCTCCAGGGCTTGGGAGATTCTTTCGGTAATGTCGGTGGCCATTCTGTCTATTTCCACTTGAGAATTGGGGGGCGATAGAATAGGGGCGGAATGGGCAAGCAGACGATTGAAGGCGGCCCAGTTGGTTTTCTTTAGGGTTTTTGGAGCTGGGTTTCTTAGCAGGGGGCCTAGGTGGATGAGGACCGGACTATGGTCAGAAGTGGAGCCCGTAAGGGTTTTTGCCGTGAAGTTTTGGTTAAAGTTTTTTATTAGGGCAATATCCAGAACGGGTGGTGGTCTATTCTGGAGTATGTTGGGTCTACCGGGCCTAAAGTATCCCAGTCCGAGTCTCCTGCTAATTTGAAAAGTTTATTGCCGTTGGGATTTGTAGAGTTGCTATTCCACGATGGGTGCTTGGCGTTAAAATCGCCAGCGAAGAGAGTAGGGAGGTTTTCTGAAAGGGCGCTGGAGAATTCGGCCTCTGGGAAAGGGTGGCCAGGAGGTAAATAGCCTACTAGAATTTTTAGACGATTTTCAAAGGAACTTTCCACATCGATGCCCAGGGTCTCAAGAGTTTGGTTTGTTGATGCAATACAGGCACAGTGGGAAATGCCTAGTTTTTGCAGAATCATAACTCCGCCACCGCCGTCTCTCGTGGCCCTCGGTAGATTGTACACCTTATAGCCTGCAAATTTTGGGTGAAAATCGTGCTTTATCCTGGTCTCTGTGAGTAGAACCGTATCCGGCTTATTTTCTTCTATGAGGGCCTCAAGTTCGAGTTTCCTTTTGAAAATTCCATTTATGTTCCACAGTAAGATGTCTAAGCTGGCGGCTCTGTTCGATGTTGCCATTTAGCAGGGCTGTTGGATGAGCGACTTCGATAGAGGCAGGATTGCTTGGTCCTGGGAGCTCATTCTGGCATCAATTTTTGACGTGAAGCCACTTATGGTTTGTAAGAGCGTCGCCATTAGCATTGACAGGTTGGACTCTGGAGGTTGACTTGAGGCTGCCAAGAAGGGCTGGTGTCCAATCGTGGCTTGGCTGTAGGTTCTGCCGGTTTCGTGGGGCAGAGTGGGCCTGTTTGTATTGTTCTGTGGGGCAACTTGAGGTGTTTGAGCTGGAGTTGAGATTCCATCCCTTGTTGGAGAATTCAGTGGACACCATGTTCCATCGTGATTTTTTTCTTAGTACGATGGGGGAAACTGAGGTGGTAGGGGGGTGTTTGAGGGCTGAGAGGCGGCTACTGGAGAGGCTGGGGGGACATACCCGAGTGAGACTGGCTGTTCGATTAAGACGCTTGGGAATTCAGCAGGTCTTGAAAAGGTGGGATATATTCGTGAGAGCGAGGGCTGGAAACTTCTTGGACATCATTATTTTGTGGAGGCACATAGTTAGTGTCCAGGTGTACGCTTTCACTTGTATCGTCGATTTGTACTGGTTCTTTGGGGACTGCGTTATTTGCTGGGTGGATTTTTCAGCTACCAGGTCAACTCTTTTTCTCTTAGTTGATGGTTTTGGGGAGAGAGATTGGCCTGTTGTTTCAATTTTGTTTTTATTCTTCTCTGCCATGTTTTTATTTAATAGTTCCAGCTGTTGCTGAAGGGCAGTGATTTGGGCCGACTGGTTGGAGAGTTGGGTAGTCAGGTTCTTAACCATAGCCATAAGTCTGTCGTTTTCATGCTTTAGTCTTTGAATTTCGAAGTTTTCCTGCTTTTTCAGATTTTCTTGGCATATAGCGTCAGCTTTTTCAAGATTTATTAATAGTAGGTTGAAGAGATGCTATTTCTACTTTTTTTTGGAGATTTCTCGTCAGCAAAGGACATAATGACCTTGTTTCTTTCTTTTGGTTTCCTGTCTTTTGAGTGTTCTTGTACTGTTTTGGATTTTGGGGGTTTTTTGTGGCCCTTGGTAGGGGTTCGTCCTATTTTAAGAGATTTATTAAAACCTTGGGCTTCAGGATCTTGGTCAATGGTTGCTGGGGGTTTCATAGGGTCTATATTTTCCATTTTAATGTAGGTAAATGGAGAAACACTTAAAAAGATATTTTTAGTGGAAACAGGAAGCTCAGGAGCAAGAGTTGAACCTAATGATTTAGACGAAAACGTGCACAAGGTATTTATAGTAGGGGCGTGGCCTGGTTGAAAACTGGCTCGGCCAATGAGAGGACTAGAAAGGGGGCGTGGCCTGGTGTTTGCTATAAATATCAGCAATATCAGCAAACCCTTTGCAGCAGCCGAAGGCTGCACTACTTGAATTTTTGACAAATAACAACACTTATCTTTATGAGCGTGGTATTTGACAGAGTAAAAATATGACAAACAGAATAAATAAGTAGTAAACTTAGAATAAAAATGTAAATGGACAGGGACAGACATTTATCACTAACCTCGTGCACTGTAGGACAAAATAACAAAGTATAAACAAAATCACGGGGTAAAAACAAAAAACGAAGCATAAAGGGGGACCGACGCCTACTCAGTTCAGCGTCGGTTTATCCTGTCTGCTCGAGTTCACAATTCACAATGATTATGATATGAATCCCTAACATAATGAATAAACTCGGACGTTGTCAATATTTCTCTACTCTGGGGTTTCACCAGATCGAAATGAATCCGGAAAGCATTCAAAAAACCGCATTCAATGTTGAAAACGGTTATTTTGAATATACACGTATGCCTTTTGGACTAAAAAACGCACCAGCGACTTTTCAGAGAGTAATGGACAACATTTTACATGACTTACAAAATAAAATATGTCTTGTTTACATGGACGATATTATTATCTTTTCAAGTTCACTTGATGAACACATCTCAAATTTACAATTAGTGTTTGACAAATTAAGAAAATCAAAATTAAAAATCTAATTAGATAAATCGGAATTTTTACGCAAAGAAGTCGAATTTTTAGGACATGTAGTTACAGCAGAAGGAAATGAACCAAATCCTAATAAAATTAAAGCTATTAAACAATTTCGAATACCAAAAACAGTAAAAGATAATAAATCATTTTTAGGTTTAATAGGCTACTATAGAAGGTTTATAAAAGACTTTGCTAAAATTACTAAACCCTTTAATAAATGTCTAAAGAAAGGAAAAAAAATTGTTCATGATCAAGAATTTATTAAAACATTTGAATACTGTAAAAACCTTTTAACAAATCATCCATTACTACAATACCCTGATTTTATTAAACCATTCAATGTAACAACAGATTCATCAAATTTTGCAATAGGTGCAGTATTATCCCAAGGTACGATACGAAACGATTTACCAGTGGCGTACGCCTCACGTACACTAAACCCAGCAGAATGTAATTATTCTACAATCGACAGAGAAGTACTTGAAATTGTATGGGCTACTAAATATTTTAGACCTTATCTGTATAGCAACAAATTTAAAATCGTAACAGAACATAAACCTCTAGAATGGTTAACCAAATTAAAAAATTAATAAAATTCACGTCAAATATCTTATCTTATCTTAAAAACGAATCGAATCTTTCAAATATAGACGATGAAACTTTAAACGAAATTCTTTGTATAACATCTGACAATACTAACCCTTCTAAAATCAATATAATTTCTGACATACAAATTAGACCTCCGTTGAAAAAAAACTAATTGGATGAACAATCCTCTCTTTCTACAATTCATACCGCTATCAAAGACCCAATTTTTACAATCCCAATAACAGAAAAATGCGTTAATTGCTATACAATCCAAATTATAGTCTCTGGTAATTACAAACTAAATAATAACTACATTATGACTTTAAAACCTTTTAAAGAAAATATAGGACCCGAGTACTTTTAAATTTTGAACAAGGTATAATTTCTCTCTTTAAAGAACATGTAACTAGCAAGAAATCCTATTGTCTTCACTTTAAAAATCCTGAAATAATTTAAGACTTTACAGTATTTGTTCAAAGAACATTTAAAAATTCAGCCTTTAAATTAGTTCAAAGTATGACAATGCTAGAAGACAACTCAAACAGTAACTCTCCTGTAAACGCATACACTCGACTTTAATTGAACATAAGATGTCTGCGTGCTACTAAGACCGATAGTAGAATCAGTAGCGTGCAAAGGTGATCGGGGGCCCCCCCGCAAATTTTAATCTGGGGCCCCTTTGTCACTTATACCACCCAATGTGGTTCTCTACGGGCCCCCCCTAAGGTCGGGGCCCCCCCCGCACCGCGGGCCCTGCGGGGCCCGTCCTGCACGCCACTGAGTAGAATCGATCAATTAATGCAATATGCAATTTTACCATATAATAATTCAGTCCATTCAGTAACGAAACAAACACCCTTTGAAATTATTAGTGGACATACAAATAGCATCGATACGCTTGACATAACTGACGAAAAAATAATTAATGACTACATCTAAAATCATAGGAAAAATATTAATACCCTGTACGAAAAAATTCTAGATGCAAATAAAAGAACAAAGGAATTAGTTATTACTAAGCACACTGAAAAACGCGATGATCCCATAGAATATGAAGAAAACAAAAAAGTTTTTGTCAAAATACCAACTCGCTCAAAGACCAAACCCCAATTTAAACCGGCAATAAAGAAAATTTAGGCATTAAAGGAAAACTAGACTCAAATGATATTATACATAAAAAGAATATTAAAAAGCCAAAGAAACTAAGTAATAATTCTTCATTACAGGAACAAAATGACGATCCTAACCCTGACATTGACAATGACAATTCTGGCCCAGACTTATAGTCTTGATATAACCCCATTAGAAAACAACCCAGGACTTTTACCCTTTAAATTAGAAAAAGCAAAAATAATGAACGCAAAGCATGATTTTTTGCATTACGTTAGGTTAGATTCCCTTCAGGAACATATTAATAATCTTAAGAACGCTTTTAATAATCTTAACAATTCAATTGTACATAATTCGAACTCTTTAAGTACGCTTAGTGTTAAAAATAATTTTAATAGTTTACAGCCTTTAATGACAGATATCGAAACGAAATTTTCAAATATTAAATATTTTCAAAATAATAGAAATAGAAGAGGACTTATAAACGGAATAGGTACCCTTAATAAATAGATTACAGGCTCTTTAGATGATAATGACGGCGAACGATATAATAAAGCGATAGTTACTTTAGTAGCAAATCAAAAGAAAATTGTTTATGAAGTAAATTCACAAATATCACTATCCAAACAACTTTCAAATAAATATTCAGAAACAATAAAAATAATTGTGGAAAACCAGAACAAAATAACAGATTTTATAAATAAATATAAAGTTACTTTAATGAAACAGTCAGATTCTTAGAGAAATATCATATTTAGGAGTTGTTAATCAATTATTCATAAATATAAATTTAATATTAAACCTTTTAATGAAATAGAAAATAAATCTGATATACTTAAAATTAATGATTTACAACAAATTTTACAAGAACTTAAAGAACTTCATTCAGGTGAAGAACTGCTTGACCTAGATTTCTATGATTGGTATTCTATAATTAAAACAAATTGTTATTTTTCTAAAGATACTTTAATCTTTGTTTTGGAATTACAAATGGCGAACTTTACGATTATTTCCATTTATATCCAATTCTAATCAAAAATAATTCAATCCTTATTCCTTCTAAACCTTATATGGCTCTTGCTACGTTATCCTTCCAATATATCGTCACCTGAGAATTATAGTGTTCTATTTGACATTTGCATATCTTGTGGGAATTGCAATTTAAAAATTTGAATGTTCATGTGCAAGTAATGATAAATGATATTGTTGGCTTTATATACATAAAAAAGGCCAAAAGGAAGTGTTAGTATTTTATTAAACTTTGTTAGAGAAAACATATATGAAAAAAAGGTTT